TCAGGAGAAATAGAATATACGATTATACAAGGGAAAGCTTTTAAATAAGGGGGTGCTCAGCCCTAGCCAGTTTGGCTCAGTGGATAGAGCGTTGGCCTGCAGACTGAAGGTCCCAGGTTCGATTCCTGGTCAGGGCACAGGCCTGGGTTGTGGGCTCAATCCTTGTTGGGGGGTGTGCAGCAGGCAGCCAATCAATGATTCTCTCTCATCATGTTTCTATATCTCTCTCCCTCTCCCCTCCTCTCTAAATAATTTTTTTTTAAAAAAATGCAATAATTCCAGCAGCACGTTAGAATCAGTTCTAGGTATCTTTGCAAGAATGTTAAATCCTGAGCACCCCCTTATTTATTTTATTTTATTTTTATTTATTTATTTTTTAAACAAATTCACTTTCTGTGAAGACCTCGGTGACTCGCTGTGTCACCGAGTCAGAAACAGTGAAGTCTCTGTAGAAGTTTTTTTCTTCCTTCCTTTCTTTCCTTCTTTCTTTCTTTCTTTCTTTCTTTCTTTCTTTCTTTCTTTCTTTCTTTCTTTCGTTCTTTCTTTCTTTTTAATATATATATATATATATATATATATATATATATATATATATTATTGATTTAAGAGAGGAAGGGAGAGGGAGAGAGACATAGAAACATCAATGACCTTCTGATTCATAGGTAGATGTTCAACAACTGAGCCATGCCGGCCAGGCTGGAATTGTTGTATTTTTGAGGCTTGGAAATGTTGGTGGACTATAATAATTGAGGTACAGATGCTAGAACTACTTTGGCAGAGAAGTGAATATGGGGGTCAGAATATTTAGGGAAGAAGGTGTGTTGGAATGAATTTCTTACAAAAGACCAGAGAAACCACCGCTGACACCATTTCTCTGGAGGTCCCAGAGGAACGTCTTAACTCAAGCAATAACAAATGCACATGCCATCCCTGACCGGTTTAGCTCAGTGGATAGAGCGTCGGCCTGTGGACTCAAGGGTCCCAGGTTCGATTCTGGTCAAGGGCATGTACCTTGGCTGCAGGCACATACCCAGTAGGGAGTGTGCAGGAGGCAGCTAATCAATGTTTCTAACTCTCTATCCCTCTCCCTTCCTCTCTGTAAAAAATCAATAAAATATATTTATACAAAAAATAAAAGAAAGAAATACACATGCCGGTCAGAGGAAAGCGGTCAGCATTGGGACCTCAATGGTGGCTGTCTCTGTAGGCCTGGGTTGATGACAGGACCAGGTGCTATAGAACTGGGCTCCGTAGTGTCAGTGAAGGTCATAAGATTACAGAATAGTAAAAAAAAAAAAAAAAAAAAAAAAAAAGTATTAGTCCTTAACTATTAGAAACAAAGTGGTATAACTACTGTAATGGGCAATAAGGCTAGAATGACGAACTCTGGGCCCTGACCTAAATATATCTGAGGCCATGTATAATAGATTTTGGTTCTCCTAGGGATGATATAGGAGGGGCAGACAATGAGGACATTTATTGCATTATACAACAAAAAAAGATCAAGAGCTGGTGATCAACATACTGATGCCAACTTTTTCAGTGGGCATGTCTTGTCCAGTTTTCAAATCCTGAGTCAGATCAATCAATGAGCCATTTCCGATTAAAGGAAAAACCAGGTACCTTTCAGGAAGCACCCTGCAATGTCACCAAAAATATATGCAATAAATAACCCTTACCTTGTTTCCCCACTGGGTCTCGTTTCCCAAAGGTACTTGTTCCCCCAATGGATATACATGTACCAGAGTAACCACACAATGCGAGAAGGGGGAATACTCAGATCTTTTAAAGACTATCGGATGCAAGGTCTGACCTGACAGAGACACTACAAAATACCCCATGAAGGAGACCATGTGAATAAAGAAAATTCTAATCCCAGGGCATCTCCCAATGGGTCTGTGAACCCACTCTGTGGTAACTTCCCTGGCTCCTGAGTAAATAAATTCAGAAGATGACAAGGTCCTCATAATGGTCTTTGATCTATGAAGTAAGAGATATGATAGCAAAGACCAAGTGAGAAACCCTAAATATTTCCTTCATACCCACCTGTCTCCATAGCAAACAGAAACACTAACATATCATGAATGAAACAGCAGAGATTAATGCCACCACTTAACGGTTGCAGGTGGTGATCCACATCCTATTCCCATTTAATTCAATAGTATTTTTACAGCAAAGAATCACATGGGTCTTTGTGAGTGATAGTGAATTATCATCAACTTACACAAGTAGAAGCTCCAGTCATGTGCACTGTGCTGGATATAGTAACTTCACTAGAAGAGACCATCAAGAAAACCTAACAATCCCAAAATATCAGACATATGTTCTAGCAATATCTTTACTGACACAGCTCCTAGGACAATGGAAACTAAGGAGAACATAAACAAATGGGACTACATCAAAATAAAAAGCTTCTGCATCGCAAACGAAACCATCAACAAAACAACGAAGAAAGCCCACTTCATGGGAGAACATATTTGCCAATGTTATCAGTATATCCAATAATAGTATAATCTCCAAAATTTATAGGCAACTCATACGTTTTAGCAAAAGAAGATAAACAATCCAATAAAAAAATGGGCAAAGACCTTAACTGGTTTGGCTCAGTGGATAGAGCATTGGCCTGCAGACTGAAGGGTCCCAGGTTCAATTCCGGTCAAGGGCATGTACCTTGGTTGCGGGCACATCCCCAGTAGGAAGTGTGCAGGAGGCAGCTGATGGATGTTTCTCTCTTATCGATGTTTCTGACTCTCTATCCCTTTCCCTTCCTCTCTGTAAAAAAATCAATAAAATATATATATTTTTTAAAAAGGGCAAAGGACCTAAATAGACACTTTTCAAAAGTGGACATACAGAAGGCCAAGAGACATATGAAAACATGCTCAAAGTCACTAATCATCTGAGAGATGCAAATCAAAATGACAATGAGGTACCATCTCACACCTGTCAGAATGGCTATCAACAAATCAAGAAACGGCAAGTGCTGGAGAGGTTGTGGAGAAAAAGGAGCTTTTGCACTGCTGGTGGGAATGCAGACTGGTGCAGTCACTGTGGAGAACAGTATGGAGTTTTCTAAAAAAATTAAAAATGGAACGCCCATTTGACCCAGGAATCCCACTTCTAGGAATATAGCCCAAGGAATCAGAAACACCAATCAGAAAGGATATATGCACCCCTATGCTCATAGCAGCACAATTCACCATAGCTAAGATTTGGAAACAGCCTAAGTGCCCATTAGCAGATGAGTGGATTAAAAAACTGGTACATCTACACAATGGAATACTATGCTGCTTTAAAAAAGAAGGAATTCTTACCATTCGCAACAGCATGGATGGACCTGGAGAGCATATTATGCTAAGCAAAATAAGCTAGTCAGAGAAAGATAAAAATCACATGATCTCACATTTGTGGAATATAATGAACAACATAAACTGATGAACAAAAATAGATCCAGAGACAGAGAAACATCTAAGACCGTCAAACCTCAGAGGGAAGGCAGGGGAGGAGGTGGGGATAAGGGGGAGAGATCAACCAAAGGACTTGTATGTATGCATATAAGCCTAACCAATGGACACAGACACTAGGGGGTAAGGGCATGTGCTGGGGGGTGAGAGTGGCTGGGGAGAGGTAATGGGGGGAAAAGGAGACTTATGTAATACTCTAAACAATGAAGAATTTTTTAAAAAAGAAAGAAAACCTAATAATCCTAACTGTATAGGAACACAGGCAGATAGAAAATTGATCAAGAACAAAATTAAGAAATTGTCAGTATCAGGAAGGAGGGAATAAGGAGACATAGAGTTCACATAAATATAAAAAGGAAAAATAAAAGATATTATGAATACTTTATACTAATAAATTTGAGAAAAATAAGGGGGGAAATGCCTTGAAAAACATCATTCACCAAAATTGACACAAGATTTTAAAAATGAAATAGTTCTACCTCTGTTAAAGGGATTGAATCTGAAATCATAGATTCACATAGGATTTCAACAGTTAATTTTTTCAAATATTTTTGAGAAAACGCAAGTACTGGATTGTCAGGAATCAGAGGTCTTACCCTCATTAAACCTTATTTATAATTTCAAGGGAACGATCATATGGAATGGGTAGAGTCAGCGAGGTCCAGAACCACCAGCACCTACCTTTCATGTATAACTGGGGTATGAAGGTCCTGCCAATGCAGCCCAAAGGAAGAAAAATCTGACAGGAAACATTTGGTCCCTAGTGCGCATCCAGGTTGGCCAAGGCTTGTTCAGGCCTACAGAATAATTCAGTTTCTTTGTCTGCAAAACTGGTTTCATCCACAACGCTTTCCTTTCCAGGTGTTCATCCCTCATAAATGTCTTGCATTCTAAACTCCAATGTGGGGTCTGCTTCTGGAGAACTCCAACTATCACCAGGAAGTAATTACTGACCAAGCCCTAGGGCAGTGGTTCTCAACCTGTGGGTCGAGACCCCTTTGGGGGTAGAACGACCCTTTCACAAGGGTCGCCTAGATACATCCTGCATATCAGATATTTACATTACAATTCATAACAGTAGCAAAATTACAGTTATGAAGTAGCAACAAAAATCATTTTATGGTTGGGGGTCACCACAACATGAGGAACTGTATTAAAGGGTCGCGGCATTAGGAAGGTTGAGAACCACTGCCCTAGGGCCAGGGGAACAAAGAAAAGTTGAGCGTATTAAAGGAGCTCCTCTGCAGAGCAGGGACCAAGACTCTTTAAGGAGGGCAAGTGACCAGCTGGCGCTCACGCTTCAGGAACTCGGAGGAGGATCATCCTGCTAACCCCAGCACTAAACTCGCAACTCTGAGGGTGTCAGTGGCCAACTGGTGCTGGTGCTTCTAAGGAAGGATGAGGGTGGTTCTAACAAAGCCAACAAAACTGGAATCCCAAACCGAACATGGCAACCAGAGTGAATGGCCCCAGCCAAAATGACACTACGTGTAATGTTTAGCACACAGGAAAGTAAACTCCTTCTCCCCTCATCCTTCATTCCAGGCTACTTCTACTGCCCCCTTTTGGCATAGCTACCTGAAAGAGAGCTGGCAAAACAGAAATGGGGTGTATAGTGGCACATCCTGGACATTACGTCTTACAATGCAAAGGCGGGAGAAGGTTTACACCTGCTGTCTGTCCCTTCATTCGGGATACAGAAAGAGACGCCTTCCATGGAGCATTTGAGATCTTGCTCCCCAGTATGTTGTCAATTTGGCTCAAATACATTCTTTTTAAAACATATGTTTTTATTGATATTACAGAGAGGAAAGGAGAGGGAGAGAAGGAGAGAAACATCTATGTGAGAGAGAAACATTGATGGCCTGCTTCCTGCATGCCCCCTACTGGGATCGAGCTGGCAACCCGGGCATGTGCCCTGACCAGGAATAAAAAAGGTGACCTCTCAGTGCACGGGATGACACCCAACCAACTGACCCACACCAGCCAGGGCTCCAATAAATTCTTATAAACACTCTCTTTAAAAAAATAAGACGACTTCCTGACAAAATGAACCTTTAATATTGCTTGAAACACTGAAGAGGAAGTAAGAACATGCTAGGAATCCTTCAGTATAATATGATCCAGACATGAGAGATCCTTAAATTTTTTCTTTAAATCGTAGACATGTTTCTCTACTATTAAAAAGCTGGAGATTTTTTTAAATGAAGCAGAAGCCTTATTGTTCCCCTTTGTCCTCAGGTTCCTCTTCTTCTTTTTTTCCCTCTACCTCTTCTTCTTTTTCTGCCTCTACCTCTTCTTCTTCTTTTTTTCCCTCTACCTCTTCTTCTTTTTTTGCCTCTACCTCTTCTTCCTTTTTTCTTTTCTTTTTCATACAAAGCAGAAGGAAGCAACATAAAAATAAAGGAATAAGCCACAATAAAAAAAGGTAAGACAACTTTGCCTGTGGTCCTTTCGTAGAAGGAGGTGGGCCGCTATCAATACTACCTCCATCGCCTTTTAGCGTGCAGTTGGGAGGTGCCCACCCTTGGCTGCAGTGGCAATGCTGTTTATTATTGCAGACTCCCCTCATGTGGCAGTTCTCATTCTGACAGTCTTGTGATACAAGAGTCATATCGACACACTTCTGGTGGACGCATATCTTTCCTGGACCACACACTGTGCCATCTTTCACTAGACCAATATCAGGTATGGTTATCCCTAAATGATAATCAGTGCCCCAGCAACTGGTGAAATTTAACTGAAGCTGATGTACTGTAGTATGTTCTGTTAGCTTAGGAATAATTGATACGTTTTCACACTGAACTCTCCCACAGAAGATATCTGAGGTATTACATTTTCGGTATCCCTTGTCAATTAGACCACAGTGGCCAAAACGGCTTCCCTGGGAGTTGATTTCTTTGTAGCACTCCTGAGATGCACTCCTTGCATCTTCTCCAAAAATCTCCCTGCACTGCTTGTCGTGGCTATTACAACTCTTTTCATAGCAGTAGGCATTGTCACCACAGGGAATCCCATCCTGCACATATCCATCTTCTGGGCACTGGTGGGATGTCCCATTGCACCACTCTGGAAGGTCACATTCACTGATCTGTTGTCTGCACAAAGTCCCTGATGGCATGAGCTTGCAGTCTTTGCAACACAGCCCAAAAGCACAAGCAGAACCAGGGCTCAGAGTGCAGTTCAACAGACAACATGGATCTTGTTCACACTGCTTTACAGATCCACAGTCACACTCCTCTCCTTCTTCAACCACATCATTTCCACAGCGCTTCAGAATAAGCATTTCCCCTGTACTTGGAAGATTGTGTAGACATGATCCCTGGTTTAAAGTGGTCTTTGTAAAATCGGCATAACTACAGTTGGTGAATCTTTCTGCTGGCATTCTAATAGCACTCATGATGCAACCACTTTGTCCACACCAGCAGAATTCTTCATCATGCTGCATACCCAAAGTATGGCCTAACTCATGGGCCACGGTGAGGGCAAAAAGAGACCAGGGGTCTTCTTGGAAATTATTAACTCCACAGTCAATAGGAGGACGACATATTCCTGCAACATAGGCTATACCAAGTGTACTTATAAGTGAATTTTTAATGAAAATATGGGCAGCATCACAATGTAGCCTCGAAAGACTGATTTGTTTCCACTGAGCAAAATCCTCCAGAACCTGTTCTATGCTTATCATTGAGAAAGCATTTTCATGATTCCAAATCTCAATCGCAATCAAAATCACATAGGTATCCAACTGCTGATAAATGGAGTCCACTATGTTGATAACAAGATATACGTCCTCCTGCACCTTTGAGAAGTTACTTTGAGAGTAAATGAAGAAATTTCGATCTACCACCACAGCCAGCTCCAGAAACCATGAGCGGGTCCACCAGTTATCAGTTGAATTTTGTTTCAGAGTTGTTTTCGCAGCAGCCTCTTTTAATCCCAGTTGTTGGTGTGCTACATCCTTCTTTGTTAAGCCACATTGAATTGGTGGGAATTGTGTCTCATCACTGTCTATCTTATACACCAGGTGTTCAAATGTGGTAGAGTGCCTGATGGGCTCGATTTCATAAGCAAGGTCATTTATCTGTAGCATTCCTTGAAAACCTCCAGAACAGGTACTGAGGGCAACCAGGGACCCTGGGACCCCCTGCACATAACCATGGTAGTAGCAGTCATCAGGAACAAAAGGCTGATCCTCCTGGAGGACATGCTGGTCCGTGTAGGTGAACACTGGTAGGTGTCTGGAAACCAGGAACTTCTTGACCCTCATGCGGACAATGTGTCTCTGGCCCCCGAACCGCAGGCTGTAGGAGAGCCAGCCCGGAGCCTTAGCATCTTGGTCCCTGCTGGTCACCTTCAAGGGGATCACGACTTCTCTGGAGAAGCCCTGAGAGGGCTTGGCCTGAGAGTGGCCAGAATTGGACAGAGACACCCCAAACCAAAGCAATAGAAGATTGACCTTGATGTGCACCAGGGCCTCACCCACTGCCATTATGGAACCATCAGTCCAGGGCAGAGAAAGGCGGAGGCGTGAGGCACTGCTGGTACAGTTCCTCCCTTGAGCTGTTCAGGGTGCAGGGCTGACCTTTACAGATGTGTGTTTTAGAAGAGTTGGACCATCAGAGCTGCAGTGCTGAGAGTTGAAAATAGAGCTAAAATGGGGTGGGGAGGGGAGGGAGAGTGGGAAAGAGAAGGAGAGAGAAGAAAGTGAGGTAAAGTGATTCTTCAATTGGGACAACGCTTGAATGAATAAATTACCTGAGATTGCTCTTATTTATATGTAAGGGGAAGTGTGTGTGTGTGTGGGGGGGGGGGGGGCAAAAGGGTAGGTTTCCAGAAAAACAGATGAGACTTATCATAGGTGGATTGTGGTTGAACCCGGATAGTAGATACGTAAAGATTTATTACATTCTATTTTCTAAACATGTAAACTGGCATAAACATTTTTTATATTAAAAACACTGACCCATGCCCTAACCGGTTTGGCTCAGTGGATAGAGCATCGGCCTGCGGACTGAAGGGTCCCAGGTTCGATTCTGGTCAAGGTCATGTACCTTGGTTGCGGGCACGTCCCCAGTGGGGGACATGCAGGGGCGGCTGATTGATGTTTCTCTCTCATCGATGTTTCTAGCTCTCTATCCCTCTCCCTTCCTCTCTTTAAAAAATCAATAAAATATATATTTAAAAAAAAAAAACACTGACCTCTAACTCCCACATTTTTCCTCTACTCCAAATCAACTATGACCTTGCTATCTTCAACAAGTATGTGGACCCCCCACCACCCAAAACCCACCATTTTTGGTCCCTTTATTCAAACAATTTGTTCCATCTCCCCTTTTCTCGTGCAGACATCTTATCTATTCCCCATTCGGGTTGAAGTTAGCTATCAAAGTAAGCCCCACTTAAGGGAGTCATTAGTTTTGAGACCCCCTCCAATGAAGACAATTTTTTATTTTATAATGCATGCTTATCTGCAGAAGGGACCAGACAAATGGCCAAGGAGGCAGCCATGCTGATGGAGTGATATGGGGTGGGGCTGCTAGTTGGGGGTAAGGCAAACAGCCCAATTGCCTACACAGGGGTCCTCAAACTATGACCTGCGGGCCACATGCAAATACAAATATTGTATTTGTTCCCATTTTGTTTTTTTACTTCAAAATAAGTATGTGCAGTATGCATAGGAATTTGTTCATAGTTTTTTTTAAAACTATAGTCCGGCCCTCCAACGGTCTGAGGGACAGTGAACTGGCCCCCTGTTTAAAAAGTTTGAGGACCCCTGGCCTACAACATAAAGGCAGCAGCCTTCTCTCTACCCAGCCCAGGACATTATGTTCTCAATCACAAGACACTTATCTTGGTTGCATAAATACAGATTCTATTCTATGTTTTTGCATGACTGGTGAGTTAGCTGAATTCTCTAGAGAAAGTTGGACTGAGGAATTTAAACCTAGAATCAGTTTGTTAAAATGTTCAAAAGACCACAATTTGATTGAACTGACATCACTCCTGTTGCAAATATAAATTTTAGCTCAGGCAAAAACTAATTTTTCTCATTCACTGACTTTCAGTTAAAAGTATCGATAGTTTGCCTGGCTGGCGTGGCTCGGTGGTTGAGTGTCGACCTATAAACCAGAAGGTCATGGTTTGATTGCTGGTCAGGGCACATGCATGGACTGTGAGTTTGACCCAGTAGGGGACATGTAGGAGGCAGCCGATCAATGATTCTCTCTCACATCCATGTTTCTCTCTCCTTAAAATCAATAAAACCATTTTAAAAAAAAAAAGAACACCTGCATACATGTGGGTAATTTTTTAGAATGTATAGCTACCAAAAACCAAGAATATTTTTTTAAAATATATTTTTAATGATTTCAGAGAGGAAGAGAGAGAGGGAGAGAGATAGAAGCATCAATGATGAGAGCGAATCCTTGATTGGCTGCTTCTTGAATGCCCCTTACTGGGGATCGAGCCCGCAACCTGGGCATGTGCCCTGACTGGAATGGAACCCGGGACCCTTCAGTCCGCAGGCTGACGTTCTATCCACTGAGCCGGCTAGGGCCAAAAACCAAGAATATTAGATGAAACCTCTTCAAGAAAGTATCTCTGACAGAGGTGAAATCCTAATTACCAGATTTCCTCTCCAGGTCTCTCTCCATGATACCCTTGGTATTTGCTACAGATCTGGAGATATTAAGTTGGGTAAGCATTTGTTGGAAGAGGATTATCTTCTATAAAAATAAAAGCATAGCCCTAACCGGTTTGGCTCAGTGGATAGAGCGTCGGCCTGCGGACTGAAGGGTCCCAGGTTCGATTCTGGTCAAGGGCATGTGCCTTGGTTGTGGGGGGGCACATCCCCGGTTGAGGGTGTGCAGGAAGCAGCTGATCGATGTTTCTCTTTCATCAATGTTTCTAACGCTCTATCCCTCTTCCTTCCTCTCTGTAAAAAATCAATAAAATATATATTTTTAAAAAAAGAAAGAAAAAGAAAAGCATAATATGACCTTCTGGACAAAACTGGGGCTGCAAGGGAAGCTTGGGTCCCGGGTGCCTGCCGGCGGCCTGAGAGAAGCCCGTGTTCCGGGTGCCAGAGGGAAGCCGGTGCCGGCAGCTGGGGGAAGAAAGGCCTACTCTTGCATGAATTTTGTGCATCAGGCCTCTCGTTAACAATAAAATGTTATAAAGAAAGTAACCCATATTAAATTTTATCAGAAACATGATGTGGTCATAGAAAAGTTTATTGCCAAGAATCTTTGAGACATATCAGGCTTTGTCACTGCTGCATGACTCCAAAGATAAGCTCTGAAGGAACATCACCTTGCCATTAATTATGTGAACTGGTGTCACTCCAAAGCCCTTCCTTTCCAGCATTATCAGCACTTCAAGTAGTGTACCCTCTGTATCGATGATTAATTCTTTCTCCTACAGGATATCCCCAAAGCATGTATACACACTATAACAGTTGACAGTTCAACTGACATTTCTTTCTTTTCAGCCAGACTACGTTTTGAAAACAGAAAATTCATCCTAAAATGCTCCTGGGAGTTTGAAAATGCAGTTGAAGTCCAAACACTGCTTGTATAATTATTTTAACAGCTGATAACTCACTTAATTTTCACTCCTTTTCAGGTTTAACTGATTTGGAATAATGGGTGAAGCCAGACTAAGCTTTGAACAAAGAAAATTCATCCACTAGACTTTTTTTTTATGGGGATACATAAAAGATAAAGTTTGTGGTACAAAACCTGCAACAGTTGACAAATTGAGGGCACACAAATACCAAATGAAATTATTCTTTTTTTAAAAAAAAATATGTTTTTATTGACTTTTAGAGTGAGAGGCAGGGAGAGGGATAGAGATAGAAACATCAATGAGAAAGAAACATCATTGAAATGCTGCCTCCTGCACGCCCCCTACTGGGGACTGAGTACCTGACCTGGGAATCAAACTGGTGACTTCTTGGTTCAGGGGTTGACAATCACTCTCTGAGCCACAAAAGCCAGGCGAAATGATTCTTGATATTCGCGATTCCATTGCTTCGCGTTATCAGCAGTGCCAGGACCAGAAAGGTCATCAGTTTGAAAACAGGTGTTGACAACAAAAATTATTCATTCATGTAGATGCTTTTACATTTTAAAAATGAACTGTATGTTAATAAACACTGACTTTATAATCATTCAAAATGTGTATACATTCTTTGGGACACCCTATATTTCCAGCAGCTATAACAAACCCCTTCCTTACCATGTCTCCACTCATTCTCAGTCATGGCCTAATTCAGTGTTTCTCAAACTTGGGTCAGAAACCATCCAGGGTCATGAACTCAATTTAGTGAGCCACAGCTAAATGAAACCCAAAAAACAGATATCAGACAGCTTCACAGAGATCACGGTCATGTCACCTGCTATTACCTGTCACCATAGAAGCTAGAGCAGCATTCTGCTGTCCCTTCTTATGCTAATTATCAACTATTTTCTAAACTCCAAAACTAAAACGTATACCTTGTCTATGAAGCTGGAGCTGAGGCTCTGCATGGTGCCTTTCTCCATCGCTATTTGGCTTCCTGAAGTTTTACCAAGAAGGGCACTAGAGGGAGAATAAAAGGCAAAAGCAGAGGCGAAGGGACTTGTTACTACCTATTTGCCTGCTGTGACTTTCTGTAAATCCCCAGCAGTGGAGCCTTGCTCTGATGGTGAGGGTTGGTTAGTTACCACAAAGACCCAGAACCAGTTCCATCAAGCCCTGTCAAAGGTATCTGTACCGTAGGACAGGACGCCCTCCTGAGGACTGGATGTATAGAGCTATGCTCCAGTACCCTAGGCAGCCCACACCAGTCAGCCAGGGTCCCTCTCTGATGTTCCAGGCCATGCCCAAAGTGCCTTGATGCAAGCCCCAGGTATATGGCACCTCTCTCCGAGATCTGAGTCCCAGTTATGGTGGAACTTCTTCCAAGTCCCTAAGAAACCAGCACAAACTCAGCATTACCTTATAAGAGATACAGCTATCGGCTCCACGATGCTCCTTTTCTGAGTTCCTAAATTACCAGCATCACCTGGGAAATGCCCAATCTTCTACAGTCCAGGTCTAGATCTATGAGGCCCTTATGAGAGTTTCTACCTTATGATAACCCCAACCTCTTCCATTTGTTCCCCCATCCTTAGGGGTGGATCTCCTATGGCAACTCATACCTCAGTACACCCCAGTGTTGTTTCCTTTTTATCTATTCAGGTTTTAAGCACCTTTAAAAAATTTTCTTATATGAATTATGCTTGGATTTTTCTCTTTTCTGACTAGATCCTGATAGATGTAGAATTTGGTACCAAGAGTGCTGCCAAGACAGACAAAATGGGACTCTGGGCTTGGTTTGAGCATATCCACGGCTTTAACACATTGCTGAGCTCCTGTCCAATGGGGAATGGGCATGTAGTAACATCACAAATTACCACCCAATATGGATTGTGATGAAATGTCCTATTGAAGCAAGTGTGCGGGGGACCAAGCTGTGATGATGATTAAAAGTACCTCAAGGACTGAGGGGCAGGTTGGCCATATTGAATTCTACTGCAGAAGTTGCACAATGAAGTTCAAGGTTCTAAATTCTCAGCCCAGAGAGCTGAGAATGGTGGACCTAAAAGAATGTCTCATTTGTTTTCGACACAGGCCTACCTCATAGAAAATCAAATTTTAACTGTGGAGTTTCAGAACCACAATGTAAGTTGAATACATAGATTTGCCAAGATTTGAGTGGGAAGTTAGGACACTGAGAAGGGAAAAAACCTTGATACTTGCAAAGGGGCATTCCAGCTGGACTTGATTGCTTCTAAAGATCTAGAGCAGGGGTCCTCAAACTACGGCCCGCGGGCCACATGCAAATACAAATATTGTATTTGTTCCCGTTTTGTTTTTTTACTTCAAAATAAGATATGTGCAGTGTGCATAGGAATTTGTTCATAGTTTTTTTTAAAATTATAGTCCGGCCCTCCAACGGTCTGAGGGACAGTGAACTGGCCCCCTGTTTAAAAAGTTTGAGGACCCCTGGGTTAGGGGATTGACTTGAGCCACCATTGTCTCAACAGAACAATCGGTGCATAGCTTTTAGCCCTTGCTAAAGCCCAAGGTCTATCAGCCTTCTGTGTTCCCTGCTGCACTTTCATGATAGTGTAGACAATGCGTAGCTTCAAGCAATCCCCTTGTGCCCCCAACAACAGCCTGCACTTAGAGGGCTGCATCCACAGCATTTGTCTACAGCAGAAAAGGGGAACGTCCAGCCCGTGGGCCGTATAAGGCCCTTTAAATCATTTGGTCTGGCCCCTGCCAAGGCATTAGGGGTGAGTTAATTAAATGTTTGACCCAAGTATAGCAGGCTAATTTTTAAGCTGATAATTTTGTATGGCCCTCAAATGATGTTATAAATTGAAACCTTGGGTATACAATTCTTTTGGACCTCTCCTGGAAAGCCCTGTAGAATACACATCAGTGAATGTGACCTTCCCAACTGGTGCAAAGGAAGATCAAGGTGGTGCACTGAGGATTTCGATGTGCAGGATGAGATGACTTGTGGTGACAGTACCTACTATTATCTCAAAATGTCCAAAAGTCACCCTAGTTGGTTTGGCTCAGTGGATAGAGCGTCGGCCTGTGGACTGAAGGGTCCCGGGTTTGATTCGGGTCAAGGGCACATGTCCAGGTTGCAGGCTTGATCCCTAATAGGGGGCGTGCAGGAGGCAGTCCATCATTGACTCTCTCATCATTGATGTCTATCTCTCCTCTCCCTTCACCTCTGATATCAATAAAAATACATATGCATGAGGAGTTGTATCAATTCTTTAACACTCAACTGTGACTACAGATTAGAGAAATGTCATCAGAGAGGACTGTGCAATGATGAAGAGCACTGCCACTGTCGGTATGGGTGGGCTCCTTCCTACTGTGAGTTTACAGGCTATGGAGAAAGCTCAGACAGCAGCCCAGCTCCCAGGGGCAGTCTCCTTCCCTCACTATTAACAGAAATTCTTTGCACAATAATTTTCTATTCACACACTTTTTCCTTGCCTTAACATCTATGGTCCGTTTGTTTGTAATCCTCACTGGAGGATATGCCTCTCAACCCTGATTTTAGAGAGAGGGAAAAGGAGAGAGAAAGAGAGAGACAGAAACAGAGACCCAGCCAGAGAGAGAGAGAGAAACATCAATTGGTTGCTTCCTGTATGCCCCCCACTAGGGATCAAAGTCGCAGTCTAGGTATGTGCCCTGACTAGGAATCAAACTGGCA